TCACGCTGACTTTCTTTTGTCACGCAAGTTGGTAACGAAAATTGTCCGGTGGCTGTGATGGGATTTCGTATGAGTGGGTAGATGGGAAATTGATGGGTGTACGACTAAGCTAACACCTCTGACCTTTCGTAACGGAAACTTCCACGAATGGCAAGGGTACCGCATCTGTGTGGGGTATGTATGTTCGTGGTCTTCCTTGCTTTTGGTCTCTTTTAGCGCGATCACATGGAATTTGACGCGATCGGCAGCCTCAAGAAGAGTATAAAGGTCGGCATCCGAAGAAAATGTTCTGGAGTTATAGATGCATAGCAAAAAGCAATCTCTATGGGGCGTCGTGAACGCGCTCGTTTTATCTGTTCCCAATGACATCCTGTTGAACCCGAGATTTGATCGCCTCTCACCAGTTTTCTTACCGCCCGACACCACAGACAAGAGCGCCCAGTGTGAGAGGATACGGAGGATGGTGTTTTGCTGCTTTAGCCAGTGTGGTTCCATAGAGTCCCGTGATCAGTCTAGCTGAAGCCTTCCACTGTCTAGTTTTTCGAAATTTCGAACATATAGTACTTTTCGATGGTGAAATAGCCGTTGAAAAGAAACAAAAAAAAGATGTTAATGAATAATTTGGATAATTCGGTACTCTACAAACGTCTGTTTAGGTGCAGATTCTTGAATCATCATTCATATCACACTTCTTCGCTTTTCTTTGAGCAATCCAACCTCTTCCGGGTCTACGAAAGATCGTAAAATAAACTCCACGTTTGCTCCACCAATCGCAAGTGAACGGAGGGCGCCATCCCTGCTCAAACACTCCGTTTGAGGGAAGCGCGAGCTACCTCCATCACCACAATTGGGAGTCGAATTATCATCAGTCAACGACCTTGTTAGAAGAAGTTTTTTGTTTGTTTCTAAGCGCGGAGCAATGCCTTTCCTACTTGACGCCTGCCAGTCGGAGTTGCCCAAGCTAATGATTCATTATAAAAATAATGTGGGAAAAGAGTTGTTTGTGCGCAAACAAACTGTCGGAAACAAAATGACCTCTATAAAGGTCTCACGGGCTACGCTGTCCTATTGGAAATAACGCCTATAGAGGTCATGTCCTAGTTAATATGTTAACTAAGAAACACTGAACAGCGAGCCAAAGTCTAGAACACGCAGCATCGAGAAAGTACTCCATATACCAACTATTCCCTGAATAGTTCCTACTTCCTATTCTATTCTTGCACATTCTACAAAATATTTCATAGTGACCACCTCATACACCTTCCTCACAGATAGCTGGAAATAAATTCTGTATCTTCTTTTCAACAACTGTTCTTTTGCGTCCGATAGTTTAGGCATTGATGAAGCAGCTGCCAGCAGCAGGTATTTCTCAGCTTCCGCCGTTCCAATCTGCTTCTTGTATAACCTTCGTCATCGCTATCGCATGCATTTTCTGTAAAAGCTTTGTAAAGCCTTCAGAGCCATTCTGGAACCTCCTTCTTAGCAATGTCTCTTGTTTTCTGTCTCAAACTCCTCTTGTTTTAAGCCGAACATAAACTGCTTCGTCAGCGCTCAGGGACCAGAGTTCTTTCCACTGTTCTCCACACCATTTCTCTCTCCTTCTTGGTACTAACACTTGTATCCTTCGCACTCATGTATATCGTACCACCTTTAATATTGTGCTGCTCTTGTTTTAAACAGTCGTTTATAACATAGGCTTCTGTGACACTACATTAAAATATTATGGCATATTCACACAAGGCGACCAGTCAACCGTGCTAATGACTAACTCTTCTAGCTATAATTCTATCACATTGCTTCACTTTTTATTTTCTGTCCAGTACAATTTTTATTGCTGAGATATTTGCAAAACTCGGAACCGCAAGCGTCTACGGTGAGGAACGAACGCGCTATTACCCTTTCCGGGGTCTAACGCATTCACCACCACACCATGCGGGTCCTTCATTTCGCCTGTCTCCCAGCTAGTCCTACCGATCAACTTTTTTGCAATTATCTCAGCAACGTTGTGGTTATAATTCTATCATTATCTAAACCGCCACACTCCACTTCAATGACTTCACCGTCAAAAGGCACACAAGTCCAGCAGGTTACTACAAAATGAGCGGTTCTCTTTGGACACCTCTATGCCTATGACTGACTAACCATATCTGGTTCACATGAGTGTGCTTTCGCGAGTCCTTGCTGCTTTATTCATGCGGGCACAAGTTTCTGAGGAAGGTCGTGCTAGGTGAGGACGACCGAGTTCACCCCGAAAACAGTACACCTACGCCTTTTGTTTCGACAGTAGCGAGGGCCCATTAGCGCAGCCAGCACGCTATCCCAATTTTTGCAAGGTACTTTACCACCGCCCAGTAGCCGCTATTCAGCCCGAACATAACTGCTTACGCCATCGTTTATTCCGCGCCTTGCGAGAAGCTTGATCATGACAACCTCGGAAACAGCTCTCCGCCAACACTTGGTCGCAAGCTCGGTTTTCATGAGAAATGGGGAACCACGCCTACGGGCTTATGTTCCATATTGGTAGTTTGACCGTTTTTAAAAAGATAACGACTCAGCTCGAATGTCACTACTGCTTTCCAGCTCGTTGATAATTCATAAAGTTGGCACTAACTAATAATAATAATCCTAATCAAATAATCCTGGCGAAGTTCCCCTATGTACAAGACGAACACTACTGAACTTTTATACCAAGCCACAGTCACAGTTTCGACAAATAGAGTTGTAATTAGTTAATGAACAATTGAACAGTACACCATATAATAAACATCCTCACAGAAAATCGATTAGTACTGAAGCAATGATGTTCTACGATTCGGTGTTTTTGTTACATTCTTATGTAATAATTCGATAGTTCTCAAGCATGAGATCTAGTGGTTCCAATGTTTGCAGTCATGGACGCGAGCAGGTTTTAAGACGGATATTTCCACTTGCATCCAGAAAAATGCCGATGACTTCTTCTGGTGATGACCGACCTGGGAACGCCTTAACACGACTATCGCCGGATTCGAGAAAAAAGCCGCTCGGGCGGTAGAAACCGAGCTTGGTTTCATTATGTTGCCTCATTGTGAGGCAAGGCAGGCAGTCAACTCAGGCGTAGCGACGGACACTACGAAGGAAATTGAACTATTTCTTGTGCTGTAACTCTAAGGCAGTAACAGGATTTCAAGACAGAATATTAAACTCGGCGCCTTTAGACTTTTATTCACATAAAATTTTATGCGATTGCTCCACAGGAGAACAATTTAAGGACGAGCAACATAACGTCTTCATAATATAGTGTTTGCTTGACAGCTCCGTAGTGTTATCGCTCTGCGAAGACTCTAATTACCATCCCCCACGCGATCGTTCTGTTCATTTGTAAGCTGGAAAAAACTCCTGACATCATCCACGAAAAAATAACCTATACGACAATTCTTCAGGTAATTCGGGTTGCATCTCCCCTATCACCAAGAGGTTGTTCATGACATCGACTCTCCTTCGCCATGATATGAAATTAACAACGAAGAACTTCAATATCCCAACTGCATTTTTCTTTCCTCAAAGCCTGCACCTGGAACCTAAATTCTCCGATACAGAAAACTAAAAGTGGAAACCATGACGTACTGTACAATAATCTTCCTTGACGGCTCACTGAGGAGGACCTGGCTCGACACGAAGGCGAAGCTGCAACGTCGAGACGAACAACAATCATGGACCATCGACTCGGATCATCGGCTCTGAGGAAGACGAAGACGTCGAAACGTTAGCCGAAAATAAATATATTTATCAACCTCGTGCAAGCTTATCAAGAAAGAATGCATATTGATTAGTCACACCGAGGTTTAGAGAAAGTCGGTTTCGAAATATTAATCTTCCTTGACGTTGGAGGTTTTATGAACAGCGAGACAAAAGGTAAAACTATAGTACCTGGTAAGAATATAGCCCTCTTATCCTAAGATAAGTGACTTGACCTGCGGCTACCTCTCACATGGGTCATTTTATCGAATAGGTGCATTCTAGACTGCGCGTACTTTGTCACATAGCCGAAGAATATTATCGAAGAGATAGATCATCGCAAACACGGTGCTGTTTGTTGGGTGTGCTTTTTACGAATTCCTTACGACGATTAACTTTGTAGCATATATCAAGGAATTTGAATGAGCTCAGTAGTTTGAGCACGCAATATGTACACGAGGATTCTATTGGATGGAGCATGTCGAAAATTTAATCTCTGCTCAATTCTTATCGGTTATAAAAAAAGAATCCTTTGAAGAAATTGAAACAAATAACGACGGCCGCATCTAACTCCTATCTAAAGAACACGATGACGTGAAGGAGCTCACTGTTCTCGTCCACTATTTGACAGTACCGACCATGAACTCCACACTAGCACTTTTCATCTGGGAAGAGTTCTAGTACTGTGCTATGCAGTTGAGAGAATAACTAAATATTGCTTCAACTACGTCCAGAAATTGTGTGCCTGGTACAGACCACATCAGCGATAGTTGGTTAAATACTGTTAGAAAACAGAACTTTAAGCCGCAGAGCGTAGTTCAGACCTGCTACAGTTTTCTCGTTTTCAGCATCTAAGGGAACGAACACCTAACTAAAGAACGATGGATCAGAGTGACCGGTAAGTGAACATCTACTCTACGAGTACACGCATCTGCAGCTCATGCTAGCAGTTTTAGCCGGAGTTCAGTAAGATTTTTATCTTCATGGAATTGTATTCGCACATTTCACCTTATGTAGGATGAGTCATTCTCATGGACAGTGCTTCGAAGGCTTCAAACGAAGAAAAGTTCTACTGAAGCCTATGTTATTCCCGAAGAGGATCCATCCAAGTAAGCGTTTAAAAATATTTTTCACTGACTATGTGACCAGAGGTCGGCTACTATGGTGGCGAATAAAATTAAGTACGCGGCGATCGCCGAGCGAACAGGTTTCTTTTATCGAACTAGCGAAAGCGATGGTCATCTTGGAACCCCTCCCCACACCCTTTCGCCAGATCCTAGACGATCATGCATGCTGTGCCTGTGTTTATTGCTGTCATAACCTCTTATGCTGCTGCTCAGCAGACCTTTCAATCCACTGTATTTGAATTACCTGCCGAACTGCCAGCAGAAGATTATGCCCTTCTTTCCCAAATTGATGATGTTCCTAAAAAAGAAATTAAACAAATAACAAAGCCAAAGAAAATCGATAAAGGAGCGCTGCATCCTCCGAAAGTCGAGCCTCCAGCACAACCATCACCTTTCGCACAACCTCAGAGCGTTTCTCAGCCATCCAACCCTATTACTCCTGTCCCTTTCTCTCTATCGACCTATCCTACTCTTCCTTCAGCTGCTCCACCTATGCAATTCACTATAGCTCCGCTCAGTTTACCTGTAAATTTTACACCACCACCATCACCTCTTGTACTACCTACGCATCCCACGCTGAGCCCAATTATACTTCCAAGTCATCCTACGTTACCTCCGTTCACTTTCCCCACTCATCCCACTCTCGCTCCACTTACTGCAGCTCCACCTTCACAGTTACCAATGACTGGAACTGTTCAGTTTCCACAGTTCCAGCAGGTCGGATCTCAGCCCCATGTCATCCAACCGCCTGAGCAGTTCCAGCAGTTCGGATCACAGCTCCAAGCCATACAATCCCCCCAGCAGTTCCAGCAGTTCGGATCTCAACCGCAAGCTATCCAATCCCCTCAGCAGTTCCAGCAGTTCGGATCTCAAACCCAAGCTATCCAATCCCCCCAACAGTTCCAGCAGTTTGGATCACAACCTCAGGCTATCCAAACCACCCAGCAATTCCAGCAGCTCGGATCACAGCCCCAAGCCCTCCAATTCTCCCAGCAGTTCCAGCAGTTCCAGCAGTTCGGACCTGTGCACCAGGCCATCGAACCACCACATCAACCGCATCAAGGAAACCCTTCATTAGTCCAATCTCCAGAGAACTATCAGCAAAGGAATGATGCTCAGATTCCGTTTTTCCAAACTCAATACCAACCTGCTCACTCTCAAAGCCAAGTACAACAATCCATATTGCAAACGAAGGAGCAAGGTCGAAATGCTGAACAACCACAAGTTCTATACGGAGGCTTCCCTCAGCAGGAACAGCCCGTTTACTCACAGTTTCCTCAACTGCAACAGCTTGCGGCACAAACAACACCACAGCAGCCACAGCAGCAACAGCAGCTGCGTCCTCTACAACAACAGTACGGAGAAAGGAACTACGAGCAGCCCAATCATCTTATTCAGCAGCCACAGAGTTTCGGTCCAACACAGTCGCAGACCCAACAGTTCGTGCAACCGGCAACGCCACAGTTCATTGGGTTCCAACCAAATCAGCAGCAACAACGTTATGAACAGGTATTTCTACCAAATACTTTTTGTTATTTCGGAAAATGAGCAGACTACACATGTAGAAGGGTCTGTTCGAAGTCTTCTATAAACTCAGTGAGCGAAATCAAAATGCTAAGGAAAGCTCAGGCAATCACAACAATGATTGGGAAAGGCGCTTAGAATTCTTACTTGGGTTTTTGTCCTTCCTGATCAGTTCAGTCCCTGTTTGAGGACTCCAGATTGACGGAGGGCTTGGCGAATCGGGAACGCAGGACTTAATCAGCGATCGATCGAATGTGTAATGCAAAACACTTTTATGCATTGCGCTACGCGCTCTTTAACCTTCTTGGTGTAGCAAAATATGTCGACGAACTGCTAGATACTCAACGCCAAGTTCTTCTGTCATCTCTCCAACTGATTTCGTGAACTCATCTGAGCAATACTGACTTGGTTTTATACAAGAGCGCGGACACTTCTACCACACTCTTCGTCTTTACAGCTTTCACTTCGTCACATTTTTAAATCAACGCTAAGCTGCCTAACGCTAAGCAGATTCGTTTTCGCTCACAGACTCGGATGTTCACCTCATTTTACGACTAGGTACTGCCACCTTAGGTGTCTTCTTGAACTGATACGATAAATCATATGGATTTTCTATCCTCGATCTTTTTTGCCAATCTAACATGTAAAATAATGAGATAACGGATAAATGACAAAGCTCTCTGCTTTGATCAATTCCTGAGGGATGCGCCATGCATTCGACTTCATTAAGTATCGTTGGGGCTGATTGAATGCATATCTGGCTTCTATAATGACTCGTGGCAGCCTACCGATGTATCGAGCCAGTGCTGCTATCCTCTCAGGCAAGTCTGGTACCAATTTGCCGACCCCGAAAGGATAGAAGGTTTAGTGGGCCATGGGCGCCGCAATCGATTCCACGTGTGTGTCGCAGTGGCGTCTCCAACCACTGCGCCACACTCGCCCTTAAAATAGTGAGATATAGTGATAAAACCGTAGGCATAACTCAATTGAGTGAATTTCGTGCTTTAAAGCAACGTGTCTATTACATTAACAAATGTCGAAAAAGCGTTTATTCGATGACAAGCATTTAAGTGTAGGATGAAAAAGGCGACAGTTCCTTTTATCCTTATATTTGCTATATTTGACGAGGTAAGCAAGGACCTGAAAGAGCCATTGCAGGTTGTGGCTTCCGGACAGACACTGCTTGCAGTACCGCAGCCCGGAACATTCCACCAACAGAACACAGTCAGTGTACAGGTGCGACTCGTCATCCAGATTCTTCTTCGCATATTTCTAAAATCAATGAATTTCCATAACATTGCAAGCTCACGTCATTTCATTGCAAACAAATGTACATCAGCCGAAGGACAAAATGATTCTGTATCATGAAGATCTCTGTATTAAATTAAAGTGTGCTTTTAAATTCTTCAGCAAACTCGACTTGTCTACTCTTGACCTACTTTAATCAATATTCCGAAAAAAAATTGTGCGTGTTGTGCACAATTTCGTTTCTACATTTTTCATACACATTCTAGAATTCTGGGAAACTAACCGGGCAAGTGGAAAGAGTGTCAAATTCTACACCAAATCGTTTCTCCATGTGGTTCAAAGAAGACTTCGACACGAGCGGTAAGAGTTGTCAACGTTCTTTACCATTATCGCTTCTTCAAGTTTCTTTCCTTCACTTTTCTGGATTTCGAATGTTGAGTTCTTCACAATTTGATTGTATTTGTCATTTCTAAACGGGCAGAAATGAGAAAAGCAGGGAAAAAAAGGCAAAGTAACTATAGAAGCAAGGAAAAAACCTATCATTTTTGCCACTTAGCACTAGAAAAACCCTCTCGTTAGCTAGAATGAATAATGCTAAAAAAAGCTCTCGGCGCTGATCAATCACTAAAGGATGTGCCATGCATTCAACTCCATTAAGCATCGTTTGAAGGTGATCGAATGCATATTTGGCCTTTACTCGCGGTGACCTACCGATGCATCGAGCCAGTGCTGCTATCCTCTCAGGCAAGTCTGGTACCAATTTGCTGAACCCCGGCGGAGTGGAAGGCTTGGTGGACCATGGGAACGGAGACCGCTCCCACGTGTATGTTGTAGGACGGCTCCGGCCACTACTCCACACGCTCCCATAACTAGAAAGAATATCGTAGAAAATTAAGTCTTGATTCAATCACTTCACAAGCTTCTCATTCAAGGAGACAATGCAGAACATTTTATAAAACGGCGACTTTCTCGTTAAGAAGACATCTGCATCTTCTTTTTTCCTACCAAATAGCCTTTTTTAGACAAAATGTTCCTAAATGTCATTGAGTTTGGACATCTAACCACCATGGACCCGTTAATGGAATACTCAACAACAATAAATACAAGGATAATATTAGTGGCATAATTTGTTTGTTTTCTCTTGTTTCAACATTGACAGCCATTTTGTGAATTACGAAAGAAGAAGCTGAAAGATGCCTTTTGAAGCAGAGCAGGCCCAAACATGTGATGGTCGGCTTCGTAATTCAAACCGTGGACAAGTTTTTCGATTTTAGACCGAGGGATATATTCATCAAAAAAAAACTGACATGGCAGGAAGATTGACGGCTAACGCTCTATTGGGTCCTTTACTCTTCTCTAAGTTCAGAGAGAGACTTCCTAACGAAAATCTCTTCAATGATTAAGTGTTCGTTTGTGCACCACATGGATTTACTTATTCTTTTTCAGTGCTTTGCTAAATCTCTACCGCCTTGTCACCACTTCACTACCTTGGCAAAAGCAAAGTTGTCATAAGCAAACAAAAAGTTGGAGTTTTTAGTCTTTCCACAAACACAGAAGTACTCATTTTATTCTCTATAGATATGTGACAAGGTTCAGTGAGGTGGTGTTACAGTAGCGCACAACCATTTCGGGTTCAGTAGTAAGACATCATCATCTTTGCTTCCTGTAGTGATCACGAGTACATTGGCATAGCAACTTCCATAGTATAAGAAAGTTCTCTTACGCACAATATCTACATCATAATGAAATAAATATAATGATAGCACAATGATGTCTGTTTTGGTGACCATCTCTGCTTGGAAGTTTCAGTATATTGACAGTACTTCGGGGCGGATAGCACAGTGGTAGCGATGTCCGTCATCACGAGCAATGTGCCAGTTCGATTCCACTTCCAAGCCTCTCATCCCTCCGACCTACGAGCTATCCAAATGGGAACGCTCCAGCCAGGCTATCTCAGAACTCCAGGGAGAATTGCTCGACCAGCATTCTACGACGTTCAAGATGTGATGAAAATCCTCAAGTAGCAACTGAAGCCACACGTAAGAGTTGAAAGACCTTCGTGGACGATGTATGCGAGGAAACGCATTGGATGTGAGAAGTGCTGGGACCCGCACAGTAGATCTGAAGACATCAAATAAAATAAAATAACATAGAAAATAGTTTAACGTTTTTGTTTTCTGCCTTCTATAATTTTCATGGCAGGTTACTAAGCGAAATACCCCGGAAAGGATAATAGCGCGTTCGTTCCCCACCATAGACACCTGCGGTCCAGAGTTTTGCAAATATCTCAGCAACGTTGTGGTTGTATTTCGCTTAGTAACCTGCCATGAAAATTATAGAAGGCAGAAAACAAAAACGTTAAACATTGTGATTTCAACTACAGCCATAGCTTAACTGGGTTCTATGCCGATTTGCGCTCCCCAGATCAACCCCGCTGACGGGTGATTGCTGTGGCAAAAAGATCGATAGAAATAGCTGAGAGACGTGCGAAACAAAGGACCCGCATGGTGTGGTGGTGAACGCGTTACTCCCCGGAAAGGATAATAGCGCGTTCGTTCCCCACCATAGACACTTGCGGTCCAGAGTTTTGCAAATATCTCAGCAACGTTGTGGTTGTATAGAAAATAGTCTTAACCGTTTTATTTACTGCCTACTATTTTTAATGGCAGGGTATATTGCGAAATATAACTTCAGTGATGCTGATATGATATTGGCAAAACTCCGGACCGCAGGTGTATGCGGTGGGCATCGAACGCGCTCTATTGTTCTTTCCGGGAGTAGCGCACTTCACCACCACACCATCCGGGTCCTTCGTTTTGCCTGTCTCTCAGCCAGTTCTATTGATCTTTTGCCATCAGCAATCACCCGTCAATAGGATTGATCTGGGAGTCCAAATCGGCATTGAACCCAGTTAAGCTGGGGCTTAGTTATAATCACAATCTTAACCCTTTTATTTAGGATGGCAGCTGATGGCAAAAGATCAATAGAACTGAGAGACCGGAAAAACGAAGGACCCGGATGGTGTGTGGTGAAGTGCGCTACTACCCGGAAAGGACAATAGCGCGTTCGTTCCCCACCGCATACACCTACGGTCCGCAGTTTTGCAAAAATCTCAGCATTATATACGAGTTATATTTCGCAACATACCCTGCCATTAAAAAGAAAAAGGCAGTAAATAAAAGGGTTGAGATAGAAAATAGTATTTCGGCTAATCTTTATTGACGATTAATCTATATCTGAATATTGAAAATCACTTCCTCGTAGTACGCGGCTTACTCCGGCTTGCCTTCTTCCTTCTTTGTGATCACACATTCTTCAGCTGGTGGTTGACGCAAATTTATTCTGAGAGCGAAGACGTGATTCGATCCGAGAACAGTTTCACTGTAACGGAATGCACCTTTTGTTTGAGACTTAATGATCGATCTCTTCATGAGCTGAGAATTTCCGAATTAATCAACAGTTCCAGTTTTTCTCGAAAGACTAGCATTTATGCTTTAGGCTCGTCGATCGAAGAAATTTTGCACGACGAATCCCATTTTCGTTTAGCTGTACTAAAGACACATATTTGCGCTTCCACTCTGTTGCTTTTCTAATCCCCACTGTTTTTGGTTGAAATGAAGCTTTTTAACTCTTTGAAAGCTCATTGAGTTCCACCCACGATTGGTGGTAGCATTTCCGGATCAGACCTAGAAGACGCTGCTTTTCAACAGTTGACCACATGCTGGTTATTCGTGACGAAGTGGCGAACTTTTTCTCAGCTTAGGTGACTCTGTCAA